CTTTCCAGGACTCAAAGTCTTTGTCAATAACCATTCCATCTCCTATGACCCTGCATATTTCATTCTCAAGAGTGGAAGATGAGCAAAGCACAGCATTCTTTAAATTTCGGAGCTATTTAAGGATTTAGTATTGAAAACTATTTTACCTGACTTTGTAAAAGGAAGAGGGAAAAGAAACAATGCAAGGAAATCCTGCTTGATAGTATTGCACTGTAGGAAGAATTAAAAATTCATATAACACTGAAATTAGCTGACTACAGCCATTGTCCATAGTTCTCTAAGATAGTATCAGCAGGCAACATGTACATTTACAGTGAGGAAGTATTTTTCTTACTTACATTTGAATATCAGGTTCTGAAAGGCAAGTTAGATTTACTTAGAAACAGAAAAAGATGTATTTTCAGCAGTTTGGCTCCCAAATAATTTGTCTAGTCAACTCTGAACAAAGAGATAACTCCCCCATCTTGAATACAAGTAATTCCTCTAAGTGTTCTTTTACAACAGATTATTTTTTCTGCTTAATAAAAAGAAATAAAAGCCAAAATTATTACCTTTAGAAGTGCCAAAGACTGTACCATAGTCACTTTGAAGGAAATAAATAGCATAAAATAAAAATTTCAATGTTTATATTTTAACTGATATTGAACTACTGTTCAGAATTAGTTCTACTGATTTTAACATTTTCCTTAAGCTATCTAGAAAAGTACAAATATCAGATAAATTTTAAGAGAACATAAAATAAGATTCCCACATCCTTGGTCCAAACTCCATAGTCAAATGATTTCACCTACTGTTGCTTATTAATTAATGGAGTTAAAACATGGAAACAATCTCACCACAAAACCCTCAGATAACTGAGGGTTTATAAGAAATGTTATTTCCAAACACTGACACTAGCTACACACAATAAGTCACACAAAAAAGTAAAATTTGCAATGACAGAATAGTATTTTTACCTTTTGCAATTTCTGAAGTACAGGATAATGTACACATCCACAGTTGACCAAGACCCGTACATTTATGGTGTCACTGAAGAAGTTGTGACAGGTATCAAATATTCTCCTCTTCAGTCACCAGGGAATTCTTGGAACTGCTAGACAGTATTTAAATTTGCTAGCAGAAAAAAACCCTCCTTATTATTACCTAACATTGAAGCATTTTTTGCATAAAGCCAACTGACACACTGAAAATATTCAGCAAGCTTGCTTTTTGTTCCCAGCCCTTTAACTGAGGTAAATGAAGATAGTAAGGTCTATTCTTTGGCATTTTTAAAGCTAATTTGTAATTATGTATGAATGTAATTATCAACAATTAAAGAGTTTTCAGAACAGACTGTTTATTATGTTTTCAGCACACTATAGTCTGCTTTTCTATCTGCCAAAACATTCTGGAGGAGTTTAGTCAACCAATTAGTTTTGCAGACACTATATTTTCTTTCTGTTTTTCAGAACTCTTGTTTACAGTCTTTCAATTCTTATGGCCATGATTTTTGAGCTGAGATGCAGCCCTTAATCAGCAAAGTTAAGCATTCTGTGAAAACTTTGCTTTATTCAGCTACGACCTGAAGATTCCTTACAACTCGTTCATAGCACATGAACACCTCCAGACTGCAAATTACTAATTGTTGTGGTTCACACTGGCCAAACGCTAGGCACCCAAGAAACTCACCCTCCCTTGCCATGGCTGGGCAATGAGTGGGAAAAATTAATGAAGGCTTCATGAGTTGAGATAGGGACCAGGACACTCCAAAGGCAACACAGGCTTGACTCAGAGGTACAAAGTGAACTTATTACTAACAAAATCAGAGGAGGATAATGAGAAGTAAAGCAAGCCCTTAAAAACACCTTATCTTCCCCCAGCCTCTCCTTCTCTCCCATCAACAGTGCAGGGGACAGGGCATGGGGTTTTGGTCAGTTCATCACCCAAAGATTTTCTTCCACTGCTCTGGGAGACGGGTCCCACCCACGGGAGACAATTCTCAGTGAGCTTCTCTGGTGTGGGTCCATTCTCACAAGCAGTAGTCCTGCCAAAACTACGACAACGAGTCCCTCCCACAGGCACACAGTCCTCCCAGAACTGCTGTGGCATAAGTCTCTTCCCATGGAGCGCAGTCCTACAAGGACAGGCTGCTCGAGCCTGGAAGCAGGGACCCTCTCTCTCTCCTGGGTCTTCCACAGGATCACAGCTGTCTCCAGGCATCACCTGCTCCAGCACACAGCTCCTCTATGGGCTGTGGGTGGATCTCTGCACGCCCATGGATCCCCAAGAGCTGGGGATGGATCTCTGCACCCCCGTGGATCCCCAAGGGCTGGGGGTGGATCTCTGCACCCCCGTGGATGCCCAGGGCTGCAGGGGCACAGCTGTTTCCCCATGGCTCACCATGGCCTGCAGAGCAATCTCAGCTCCAGTGCTTCAAGCACCTCCTTCACTCCTCCCCTCCTGCACTTACCTTGGTGTCCCCATGCTGTTTCCCTCACATGTTCTCACCTCCTCTTCGCTGACTGGGTAAAACACCTGTGCACCCACTTTGTTTTGATTTTCTTCTTAATTCTGTTACCAGAGAGGCATTGCCATTTTCCTAACTGGCCCAGACTTGACCAGCAGCACGTCCATCTTCAGAGCCATCACGGACTGTCTCTGCCGGACATGGTGGAAGCTTCCAGCAGCTTCTCATAGAACCCACTTATGTGGCTCCCCCACTACCCCAAACCAGGCCATGCAAAGCCAACACACTAATTTATATTCTCCTTTACAAGAATTGGACATAATTTGTGTTCAAACTGGCATTAAAAGAAAAAGAAGTTGTCAATGTTGTTTTATACATCCCATAAAAATTGAATTTAGCTTGAAATTAAGCATGTTCATTGTTCAGTGAAAGATCTGATATCATTTCTCAACAATAATCCGTCAAGACCCTTCAAATAACCTTGAACTGAAGTTCCAATATGAACAACATCTTTACAGAAACCTGCAAGTAGGCAATGGAGAAAAAACATTCAATGACGTCAGTTTAGCACAAGCTACAGGGAGCAGAATCACCTAAAGGGAATAACAGCTATGTGGTTACATTGTTCTCAGGTTAAAATGAGTTCAGCAAAACCTTTTAGGAACACTTACGCTGACTTGCCACCAGGACAACAGGATTCTTTTGAATGAAGAAGGCACTGATATGGAATTTTCCAGAAAGTTTTTCAACATGTTTTACATGTAAGATTACTTGAGTGTAAAAATAAAACCAACAGGCTATAGTGCACTTCATTCCTCACCCCAACTTCCCTTGTCAGCATCTTCTTCCAGGTGAAAATTACACTGAAATATTTTCCTGCAAATTAAATATTTAAAGAATCACAAAGTTTAAACCAAAATTCAATATTGTATATTTCTGCAAATACTGCCCTTCAAGTTTTTATTTCTCCTAATTTTACTTCTCTTTCATAGCAGACTTGGTCCTTCCAAGTCTCACTCTCTCACAAAAAGTACTAAACGTGACTTTTCATCTTTGAGTATTCATTCTATTGAGTGACTTCATCTTTGAGTATTATTTCAATACCATTCTAGGGACTTTGTTGGCTCCATTTTTATATGAGAGCTTGCAGCTGTATGCTAGAACAGCCATCATGTATTTATCACCTTTCTGTGGAAATTACTATGAAAAAAGGGGCCAGAACAGTTGTTTCATAGAAAATCTAACAATTGCAGAACTCGCTCTGCTGCCTGACCACAACTCACAAGTCATAAGATGGAAACAAAGCAAAAAACACCCAGTGGTCATTTAAATAATGCTAAGACAGGTTCCCTTCAAAGGTTACAAGTGACTTTTTTCTTCAATTTCTCTTCACAGAAATGGGCAAGTTTTATCAGCCCACAGCTTCTTCTAACAGTTACAGTTCACTCACACTTACTGCAGCCAGACATAAAAAGCAACCTCAATTACCTGAAATTCAGAATGGATACAAAGATCTTCAAGGATACTTCTCAGGAAAAGGAATCACACTGCCCAGAGTATTTTACTCTGAACTATTAACATCACGCATAAGTACATCCACTACTTATGAGCTGCAATTTAAGTATACTGTCCTTTCAGTTCACTTCCAAGTACACAATTAAGACTTTACTCTTTTTGCATAATATATACCAGTAAAATTACAGTCTACGAAAATAACAGTATTTCTCTAAGTGGATATTTAAGTAAACAGTTTTGCAAAGATATTCATACAAAGAATGACATCCCACTTTTCCACAATGAGAGATTCCCTAGTATTGCCCAGTCTGTTCTGATTCTCACTAACTTGGGTACTAAGGCTCCAGTCCTGTAGGCAGATGTTACAAGTATTATTTCCCTAGATTTAGTGGGAAGACTGTACAAGACATAGTGCTCAGCACTGTGTGCTAAATAGCAAGCCATGAGAAACCTCTAAGTTTCTTCAGCTGTGCAAGATGCAACAAAATGTAATGGCTGCGCCCTTTTCCTTGGGGATCCAATGATGCACATCTTTGTAGCGTATTGTATTGGCAAGGAAAAAGAATTTCAATGAAAAAGCAACTTTACAGAAATCTAGACTGTTAGCGACTGCTGACCTTCAGCTTCTGCAAGACTGGATAACACATCAAGCTTGTTCTAAAGCACACTTTTCCACAAGAGATAGCAGAAGACTGCATTTATGTCAGTCAAAGCTAAAAACATTCTACTAAATGCAACACATGGCTCCATCCCTCTTTGAAGATGGGTCTGTAAAAAAACATGTATTTTCACTAAGTTGTGGGTGTAGCCGCTGACCTTTAGTTCCACATGCAGATGCCAATGTTCCACACATGTCAAAGCAATACCAAATCATGAAACTGCAATGAGATATAGCTGATAGAGAGACAACAATCGAAGTGCACTTCTCAAACTTTTATTAACTGCTTATGAGCTGTTTAACAGATCCTTGTATCATAACACAAGATTCAAACTTTTAAACTGACATGTTAAAAAAAAAAAAAAAAAAGAACAAAGTTTAGGCAAACCCTTACATAAAGCTCCTTTCCAAACTAGGTCTTCACAAGATTATCTTCTCATGCAACATTTCACTTACAGCACAACAGAGTACAACCTAGTTTAGCAGTAGAAGTTTAATCCCATGACTCAATTTCTCTTGCAGAACACCCGATCTTTACTTCTCCTGCATTCGCTTTGCCTCTGCCTCTGAAATTCTAGGAAACACAACAGGTCTTAGCTTGGAATTATTAACACTTCAATCATTTAATGGTAAGGCACCACAAAACAATTTTAGCCTTCTCCATCCGTCTACCTCAATGTAATCTGAACACTCAAACTTTTCATCATTAATCTCCTATACACAAGGTTTTTTGACCCTGGTGTGAAATTACTGCAGTTTAATCAACCTCAGATTTTATCACACATGGGAGTAACGCTTCCCACAGTTCACATCCCAACTGCTTTTCTTACCCAACACAAATCAGTTCATACAATTGGGGGAAAAAGAACTTCCTTCTCCACTACATACTTGACTGTCTGCATTTACCTTCACACTAAAATCTTCTGCAAAAAGAATAAAAGCTCAGTCATCTCTAAGATTGCCTCAAAATAATCATGTAAGATCCTTCAACAGATTCTTCTTTCAAATTCATAACTTGATTATCAAATGGCCTTTTCATGAAAAATTGGGCTGACTACAAATGAAGAGTTTCTGTCAGACTGACATGAGAAGGTCTCATAATAGTTAGAATCTCACAATCTACAACTCAAAAGAGTTGGTGCACTGTATACATGTGATATTAAGGGCAGTACTCCCAACGCAAGCAGACAGATTTCACATGAAAATCTATTCTGTTCTGGACAAAGTCACAGTCAGATTTGGTAACTCAGAGGTGGTAAAGGACAGACTGGGACCTAGAAATGATGGATTTCATTAAATGCTAGGAGACACTACACAAAGGCTAGAGACGTGCATTTGGAAGCAATCTAGTGAGATGCACCTCTGAAAGCAATTTAGTAAAAAAGCAAAAATAAAGTGTCCTTGAACTAGAATAAATAAAAAAGATCCACTGAGTCAAGAATTACTCTGCAAGAAAACGTTCATGCAAACATACACAACAGCTGAAATGTGAGGCTGTAAGTTTGAGAAGGAAGCAACATTTATGTAACTGAGATCTCATGAAGGGCCCCCAGAAAAACGACTCAGATTTAGGAAGGGGATTAGTCAGCCAGATAAAAACACCCAAACCACCCAATGTTTTCAGTAACAATTGTATGGGAAAAGATAACTAATGACAGGAACGTCAGAGTTTGAACAGACATTCAGACATTTGTGTAAGCACTGAGAGAAATTACTTCTACTATGGTCTCAAGGAAAGTACATTTGTAACATTTGGAAGCAACTGAAATATGATAAAGTTCTTATGGAATCAAGATATGAAAGAAAGACTTTCAAACAGGAGTAAGCACAGAATTTAAATCCTAAAATTAACAACAGTAAGAGACTAGAAGGCTTCTCCCTGTTGCAGACATGAAGAATTTTGACATGGACCAGACTGGGGCATTTAACTATGATCAGCTGAAGTTTCTAGTCAAATTAGTTGCTTGACTGGGTGATTCGAAACAAGCAGTTAATCAGCAACTATCTGCTCCCATCCTACATGTGCAGCAGAGAAATTTCTGAACTACAGCTCTTGTGTATATTTGCATGAATGTTTTTTTCCAAAGGAATCCTGACTTTACACATCAAGACTACAGCAGCTAGTAAGGTGCCACACTGTAAGAGCTCAACTCAAGCTACTTGTCTGAAATTCGTTTCAGTAATACTGAATTCTTTGAAGATGTACAACTAAGAAAAGGGACACAATTACAGTCTGAACAGTTTCAGTGGCATTACTCTGGATATATCCACTAAAGACAGCTTTAAACTGAGACAAAGTTCTAATAGCCAAGACTTTCAGACCTACCTTTTGGGTATTAATTGGGAGTCGTCCCCCTTCAGCCTCAAAAGCAACTTCCGTCAACCAAACAGGTACTTCCTGCTGAGCCTATGCAATTAGGAAAATCAATTCAGAGACTATGACTGCTTTACCAAATCAGATTAAGAGCTCCATCATAACTGTACCAAAAATGTCACAGTTGCTCAGTACATTCAAGTGAAATCTTAAACAACAGAAAAAGTTAAGCACTAGGATCTGACACTTACATCTGAAAGCACTTTAATTAGAGGTTGTGCAAGATGACCATCTGAATTGTTATCAAAGAAGCCAACTGCCTTCCCTGTATTTCCACAACGACCAGTTCGCCCAATTCGGTGTACATATTCTTCAATGGTGGAAGGAAGATCAAAATTAATAACATGCTGGACACTTTCAATGTCCAGACCTCTTGCTGCCACTGAGGTTGCCACAAGAACTGGACATTTTCCAGAACGAAAATCCCGAAGAGCTATTTCTCTCTCTCTCTGTTCTCTATCTCTATAAAGAAAGCAAGTGTTAGAATGGATGTCTCTAAAATCCACAGTATTATTTAAGACACAATTTAAATGCCATGTTTCATGGAAAGAAGCTCTTGAGGGTGGACAGTGGATGTAAAACAAAAGACCCAAACAATTCATAGGCTGCCCCGTTTACGTTTTCTGATTTTTTAACTGAGGAGCAGCAAGACAGAGCAGCCGTTTAAACTTAAGTCTCTAGAGAAACAGATTTTTTTAAAAGAACTGGAGATAATTATGCATGAAACTCACTGCCTAAAATCCACTTGCTTAATTGATTACAAGTGCTTTTCCTGCAGGTTTGTAGCAGGGAGCCAGAACAGCAAAGACAAAGTCTACACAGACTTCTTTCTGCACAGGCCATTTTTCAGTTATACTAAAAAAAAAAACTGTGGCCAATCAACAGTACCAAACTTCTGTTTATCATCATGACAAGGAAACTAGATTGGCTCTGGTGTTACCATGTTTAAAGAATATTTGCAGATTATCCAGTACTGAACTAGAGCAGGTCAGAATTTCACTCATCTTCTTTATTGTCCAAGTAAGAAAACAAATTAGAAAGCTAAACAGTGCTCTTTAGGATCTTAACATAGGGTATTTAGCGGAGTCTGATATGACCACTACTCCAGAGAAGACCAACTATCCTAACTTCAACTCAAAATGAATCAGAAAACAGTAATATTAATGACAGTTTAACAGCCTCCACTGAACCAATTATTCTACATATACTTCAATTCACAGTATAGTAATTCTACAAAAATGCATTAAGAACCTCCTCCCAACACAAGGGGGTTTTGGGTTAACAATTGAGGCTCACCAGGAATGGAAGGCCAGATCTTCTCAAAAGCTGTGTGTCTTTGACACACCTACAAATTCAACAGCCACAGGATGTACACAAACATCCTGCATCTGCATGCTAAGACCATTTTAGTCCTTCTTTCAACCTTGATATTCTGTGTCTGTCAGAACATACAGCAAACTAAATGATGCAGATATGGCCAAACATGAGTTATCAATAAGAGCTTCCTACACAACACAGGTGACTCACTTTAAAAATACTTACCCATGGATACTAGTGGCTGGTATGTTTTCTTGACAAAGAAAGCATGCAATGAAATCTGCTTTTTTCTTTGTGTCCACAAAGACCAAGGTTCGTTCATTACCTATGTTGAACAGATGTTTAAAGCCACTGCAGTTTGAAACATGACACATTTTCACTATTTAGAGTAGCACTTACCTATACTAACACCTAATATAGGCACTCACTATGAATAAAGTCTTTAAAGTATGACTGTAATTTCTTGCATATTCTAAGCTAATTAAGTTCAAACCATCAATTTCTATATCAATACAGAAACTGACTGAAGACACATTCATTGTTTTTCTCCTCAACAAAAGGAGGAAACAAACGTTCCCTGTGATAGGCCTGCATTCACTTCAGCATGTGGCTGAAAGCAGCACATTATCCTGAGCACTGAAGAGCAAGATTTCACCATTTTTAAATTCCAAACGCACATTTGGTCTTCAGCATTAAAACTCAGGACATGCAGAACAAATACGGAAAAATCCCAGACACTAACAAAACACAGGCCCATACATTCACACAGTAATATTAATACACCTGTATTAATATAAAATAAATAAGCCTGTGAACTGACCATATGAAGTATAAAGCCACCTAGGAAGGTTATCTGCTAGTACTTAATTGAGATGACATTGACAAATACTGGGCATTATACTAGATTCAATGACACTTTACAAGTCCCTTCCAACCCAAACTATCCTATGACTCTATGAAATATCCCTACACAAATATGCCTAAAAACCTGCAGCTCCTGCAAGTTCTGCTTTAAAGCTTCATCAACATCCTTGTAAATCATGTTAACACACAAAATTATACAGCTATGACCTTTTTAAACACAAGTTTAAAACCAAGCAATTTTGACTTCCCTAGTGAAAAATTGGCATTAAGTTACCTATGCTGTGTAGAATTTCTATCAGTTTATCCCTCTTGAAATACTGAGAAACTTGAAGAATATTTTGCTGAACATCACTGCATGCTCCACCCACATGTCCGACAACAACAAACAAAAAATCAGTTTTCAAAAATTCACCAGCTAGCCTGAAAAAGACAAAATTGAGCAACATGAAACATATAATCTAGTTATTTTTGCTTTAAAAGCACGTCTTTTCATTTATGTTTAAGCAACACTTACAAAAAGTATTTTTATCCTCTATTTTGTGAGGAACAATACAAGTAGTCTTAAAATGCCAGAATAATCTGTATAGTTTGGGTCCAGCACACAAACCACATCCTGGGCTGCATGAAGTGTGACCAGCAGGTCAAGGGACTCTACCTCTGCCTTTTAAGACTTCAGCTGGAGTATCACATCCAGCTGGGTACCTTCAGCAGAAGACAGACAAGAGAAGATCCAGAGAGGCCACAGTGATGATCAGATGGCTGGACCCCCTCTCCTCTCAAGACAAGCTGAGAGAAGTGAGGAGTGGGGGTTATTAAGCCTGGAATGATATTACTGCAGCCTTCCAGTACCTAAAGGGGGTTTATAAAAAAGATAGAAACCTTTCACACAGGCTGATAGCACAGGACAAGTACAGGCTGGACAGAGACTGGGTCCAGACTAGACCTGGAGGGAAAGACTTGGAGGTGCTGGTGGATGAGAGGCTGGACATGAACCAGTAAGGTGCACTTGCAGCCCAGAAAGCCAATTGCGCCCTGGCCTGTATCCAAAGCAGTGTGGCCAAGAAGGCAAGGGAGGGGATTTTTCCTCTCTGCTCTGATATTGTGAGACTCCATCTGTGTTCAGCTCTGGGATCCCCAGTATAAGAAAGATGCAGACATGTTGGAATGAATTCATGGAGGCCACTAACTTGAAAACAAGAGCTGGAGCATCTCTCCTACAAAGACAAACTGACAGGAGTGGAGTTGTTCTGCCTGGGGAAGACAAGGCTTCAGGGAGACCCTGAAGTGGCCTTCCAGGGTGAGCAGCTGTAGGGTACTTAGTTGCCAGTTGGGATTAAACCACAGCCCTTTAGTGGAAGACATAAAGCCTCAAATACTAAATGAAAGTTCTCCAGTCAACTAGAAAAATGGATGGTTCTCTCAACTCACACATACAGAAAGCACTTCAATTATCATAAAGGTCTAAGCAACAGCAGAAACAAGCTCAGGTATAACACCAAATGTTATGTTAAAACGAAATTTGACCATATTCACTGAACTGAAGTGCAGGATGATCTGAACCCAATAGGTCCAAAAAAACACCTTTGTGTCCAATACTACCAAAACAGTATACAGTTCAAAGCTTTCCTGGCAGAAGAGTATGGGGAAATCACTAGCTTTCCTGACTTCAGCACCAGAAAAGCATTAAATCCAGGAATGAACTGGATTAAAGAAGGGTTTTCACACTCTAAAATGTGAATGTTACCTTTAGGCATTTCAGCTTCAAAAGGTTACAAGAACAACAGGGACAAAAGAAAACTGCCTCAAAGCTGCACCAGGGGAGGCTTAGACTGGCTGTTAAAAAAAAAAATCTTCACTGAAAGAGTTTTCAAGCATCAGACTGGACTGGCAAGCAGTGGAATCATCACCCCAGAAGGTACTTAAAAGGTGTGCATATGTGGCACTTGGGGTATTGGTTTAATCGGTCACTTGCTGGTGCTGGGTTAATGGTTAGACTTGCTCAGCTTAAGTGTCTTTTCCCTTAATGCTTCTAGGAATCTAATGTTATTATGCACTTCTAAACCATGATCCCAGCACTCAGGTTTCTGAAGTCTTCCACCAGTACCTGTAAATTCTTCAGGATTCACAGTAGAAAGGTAGATCTGTTGGGGATTTTTCATTAAACAGAAGCAGAGAGTAAACATCTTTAAAAGTTCCAGTTATCTCCTTTCAGACGCTGGTAGCCACAGTACTCTCAATTCATTCCCCAGTATGCAAGAAAAATATGCAGCAAAAGCATGAGCAAAACCAGAATGATAAAAACAGACCTAGAGATAAAGGGACCAAGACTCTTCTTTCAAACCGAAAACCTAAATCAGAGTACACTATGTACCTTACAGGGAGATACACACACCTGATCTTTTCCCAGGATACACTGAGTAGTGAGATCACATTCCTGCAGAAACAGGTAAACACATGGAATGAACACAAACTTGTGCACAATGTGCATCTGAATGCTTGATTCCTAGCTGAGCAAACAAGATTATTTTTCCATACAAAGAACCCTATGAAAAAAGTCTTGGCAAGAAGCCAAAGCCACAACGGGTGAGTCCTGCTTTAAGAAAGGTGATACATTTCCATATAAGTGGTCAGCACTACTTGACCGGAGGGGAGAAAGCAGCCCATTCTCCCCTTTCATTCAGGACAGTGAACTACTGAAAAGTATTTTCCCCCCGCCCCAGAACAGATCTTTCAGACTCTGAGACCAACCAAAGTTGTCAGGATTTGACTCACTGAACTACCAACTCTAACAGTATCCCTGCCACAAAGTCAAAATTATTTGCATTGCTCCGACTGAAGTTTAGAGACTCTTCTGATTTAACACTGAGTATTTAAATGCTGGTGTTTTGAAAAGAGGAAGAAATACTAAAGTTTCCATGTGCCTGAAGGGAATTAGTTGTTTTGTTCGGTTACTCAGCAACTATACTTACCATCTATTGAAGACTGTTCCCTTAAATTAAAGGAACTTTAAAGGTCATGAGTAATAAACATGTAAGATGTACCGTAAATCCATTTGTAGAAGCTTTAAAACTACTGAAAATAAGGACCAATTATCCACATAAGTAAGAACAGCGTATCATTAACGCTGCCAAATTGAACAATAATTGGTATGTTTCATTAGCAACATCATTGGTTTTGAACTTGCAAAGATGTGGTGGGGGAAGAACAAGAAACCACTAGGGGAACCTTGAGGACTTCTGCAGATATGGAGTTTAAAAGCCTTCAGGCAACTTGCTAAATTGCTTAGGAGTCCCCACCTAAATTAAGCAATTAACGCTTTAGAGTCCCTGCTTAAATTAAGCAACAAATACTAACACCATAGCTTTCAGCATTTTCGAGCTTTTAAAAATAAGGAGTGTTCTAAACTCTTCAGATATTTAGTTCTATACAAGTACACATTCAGATATATTTCTATTTTTATGCTACTCACCTCTGAACTTCTTCAGGAAAAGTGGCACTAAACATCAGTGTTTGGCGTTTGTCTTTTTGTGGCATGTCTGGGAAAGATACCAGCTTCTTCATATCTGCACCAAAACCCATATCAAGCATGCGGTCTGCTTCATCTAGCACCAAGTATTTCACATTATGTAAACCAATCTGCAAGTATTTTGGTCAAAGAAAAACACAAATAGTTCACTGACAGTATGCACTTAAAAATACCCTAATTGCCAAAACCCACCTTTTACTTATATCTTTCAAGTTAATAAAAAGTCTAAGTATTATGATTTGTTTACATCTCAACCTCTACTTAGCCTTCTAATCTGCACAAATTCACACACCACAGTGCTTCAGAACTTGGCTGAGCAATGTAAATACACAGAGCTTGGAGCTCAACTATGATTCCAACCACCTATTTTGGAATTATGCTTGAGTTTTAGAAAGGTTCTCATGACTCTCAAACATTTCCAAAGAAACTTTTTTTTTTCTTTCTGGAAAAAAATGTCAGAGAGCATTATTAAGACTATTACAACTTCACTGTTGCTGACCAAGGCTATCACTTTTGACTAAAAGCCTGAAAACTGAAAAAAATGATTTCCAGTTTATTACCAAGTGTTTTTCTAAACTTCATTTGTTCAGTGAATATCACTGAGTCACCACTCTAACATGTAAAAATATCAGTATCAATTTACAATGACTGGGGGGGGGGAAAAAAAATAAAAAAATTAAATACAGTACTATAAACTTTTTTTTTTAAATTGGAGAGGTCTTTTTTTAATTGGTATGAAAATATAGTGCCAGACAGATAAAACGGCATTGTAGCAAAACAAACACAACATTAAATGAAGATCTACTATGGAATATGGCACAAGAATTAAGGGGAGGTATTACAGGTATTTAAGCTATAAAATTTTATTGCCATGACCACTTCAGCCACTTTGATTTAGACTGGTATTATCCAGCTGTCTCTAAAATAAACTGAAGAAATTTAGACTCAGGCTACTCCTTCAAAAACCTCATGGAATTCAGACAGTCTAAGAAAACCTCACTTGTATTTCAGTGCCTGTACAAAGGCAGCATACCAACAGAGCCTTTGAAAGCCAATCTCTGCTTCTACTAATTTTAAATAATGAAAAATAGTGTTTTATCTTTTAGGTAAGAGTATTTAGGAAATTCAGACGAAGTGTTAAGATCTCACCTTTCCTCTTTCAATGATGTCTAGAAGCCTTCCTGGAGTGGCACACAGTATATTACAGCCTTGCTTTACCTGACGAATTGAATAATCTGTTTGTGTGCCTCCATAGATCACAACAGGCCTTATACAAGTTCTGTTATGTAGAAAAAGGTTTGTATTAATTGTCTAAGTATGCAAACAGTATTGTGTCATTGAAGTTCATAAAAAATGATCAGATCTACCATAAATCAGTTTAAGAGTGGTTCAACTCCTTCAGCATAAAGCTCAGTCCAAAACCAGCCCTCAAAAACAGAAACTCACTCAAAATAAGCTTTGAAGCTCCCCCTCACACTAAATAACAGAGGCTGCCCCAGTGGCTTGCTAAGAACAAACACCTGATTTCACCTGCCTTCTCCCCTTTCTTCAACTGAGACCTACTAACAGTAACAGTCAAAATAGTTAAGACTTTGTCCCCTTTTATATAGCATCCTCAGAAAAAGCAGTCACCACTAGATATGCCTCTAGAGCTTCAGAAGCAATCCTTGCTGACCTTAAAAGGGCAAAATAACAAATACACACGGCAGCTTTCAAAGCGGATAATCACATTGGCCATATAAGTGCCTGACACAAGGATCAGACAGCAAATCCACTCAAAGACTACACTAACTATTCTCTGCACCAAGCCTTTTGGTTAGATCTGCCAGCCAGAGCCACATCGGATACTCTGCTGTAGAAAATCACTTCTCTAAGCAAAAACTACCTTATGCAGCTCTGAATAATATTTACAACCTCATCTTTATAACTTTCTGCTAAGATTTTTACATGCACACAATGAGTATTTTCACACCCAAATTCAAATGGTCTTTTCCCGAAGATACTAATTCAGGTTAACATGCAACAATGCTGAGCAGATAAATCTGGTAAATTTTTACCAAAATTAATCAAAACTTTTCAGAAAGCTTTAGTCAAGAAAAGAAATTCCCTCTGGAATCCTACAATTTCGGTATTTATCCACTGTCAGTATACATACACATTTCATATTCCTATCTAAGAATTAAATCAAAGAGCCTAACATCATAAATCTCAACTGATCAATATGCATGCTCTTCTTTAGACATTACAGCTTTACGTCCTGATACTCTTTGACTCATTCCGGCTTTTACTACAAGCCAGCTGTAAGAGAAAGTTTCTAAGATTAACATGTTATTTTATGGTGAAATCACCTGTATCTAGTTTAAAATAACATAATGAACAGAATCAGCTACAAAGTTGTAACAGTTTTAAAGATTACAAAGCTGTTAAGAACACATTTAATAAGTAGAAATCCAAGCATGGTAATTCTTCCTGAAGACAGACAGCCTCCAAATGTAAGTTTGCTTGAACAAAGGCAAGTATGATTTATCCCACCAGATTCTGCATTTGATGATGTTCTGCATTTCACCTCCAAACAGCAACAAGCTGTTACATACACTAGATTTAATGATCTTCTGTATACTGGTGAAACCTATTACTTAGTAAAAAAATTAATGACAACTCTAGTACAAATATACTCTCACACAACATTCAAGACTTAGTGAGAAGTTTAGATCTCCTGTTCTGTAAGCTCTAAGAGTTTCTTTGAGCAGTGTCATGTCTAAGACCAGAAACACAAGGAAGAGTAATTAGAAACCATCACTGGAAGTTAACTAAAACCCATAACACTCATCTTCATTTTGCCAAGATTAAAGTAAAGCAAGTAAAATAATGTAAGACAAGCTAGTAAATAATGTATTCATAGTGAATACATCTAGTGCAGGTAGCTCATCAGTGTGCAGCTGCAGTGCAAGCTGCAGACTGACCTCAGGGTGGCAAGAAGCGGCTGGAGACCAGGCAAAAGACCATGAACTGGTGCTGGCCCTTCACTTAACAAAGGGCATAACGACCTGCATCACTAGCCAGGTCACCAGACACTCAGACTCTGCAGAAGAGTAACTCAGTGAAAAGACCTCCAAATTATTAAGTACATAAACCGTGAGCATACAAAAGCCCAGTGATCCCGATGCTCAGTAGACACCCTGTTTGAGCTGTTACATGTTGCTGCAAAACAATGAAATCACCAGAAGGAAACATATCTGAGATTCTGCTATGGGAAACCTGGCATCGAGTCAGTGAGGAAACCTCATCTGACTCTCTGAGTGGTGGGTGCAGAAGTTAAGTAGGGCAGCCAGCAGCTCACTAGAGCCATCTGCTGCAAAGGGACTTGGGTCACAGCAGCTCAAGTCCCTGGTGGTGTCACACTGACTTGCTGGAGCGGATCCTGGACAGTCTGACAGGAAAATTTTCTTAACACATCTTTGAAGAAATGTCACTTTTGTTACGAGTGACAAGCTGAATACTTACCTCCACTTCAAGCTGGACTAAATCTTTCATGCGCCCACTAACCCACCCCAATATCAGAAAGATAAGGCACTTAAATCCCTAGTCATATAGGAACAAACTCGCTAATCAGTATTATAATCTGAACTCTAGTATTTGTAATGTGATTGGGACAAAACACTTTGCAAGTATTTATGAAAAAAAAAAAAGAGCACTGCTGAGCTCTTTACATTCAAGCAAAGTAATCATCAATACCAGACAACAGTGCAAAATCTTACCCATACACGAATTTTCTTGCTTCTAGGAAGATCTGATTTATCAGTTCTCTAGTTGGGGCAGTAATAATACATTCCGGTTCTTGCTGCTCTTTAAAGCTACTGGCAGTTACACCATCCCTCATCATTTGGGCCACAACTGGTACAAGAAAGGCTGCCTGGGGGGAAAAAACACAGCAGTATTTGGGTTGTGTAGTCTTAAAAGCTTTCATCAGTCTTATTAAAATCTGTGTATCAATCTTAAAGCTTGAAAGATAATGCGCACAATGATCAAGGACATCAGACTGCAAAAGGATTAACCTGAAGGCACAACAGGACATTTAACCTTATTTCTCCTTGTTAACCAGTATGAAAGTACCTCTCTGGATCTTAACAGTCTAGTAACATAGAAATACAAGCATGCAGTGGCTAACTTTCCATACCGTTTCATACACTGACGACATGCCCTGAAAATTAAGTAACCCAAGACCAAAACCATTCTTAATGTGTATTTAAAAACTATAGGTTAGCATTGGTAGGTCTGTAAAGTAATCATGTACTAACATTCTCCAGTCTACTGGAACGGCAGATCAGTTTGCAACACAGCTCCACCTTATCAGTACACTTACTTCCACGTAAGACTAGATACCCACAAACCTGCACCTGTACAGCAGTCCCAAAAGCATTCAAAATATTTAGAGCACAGACTTTGGATGTTTCCCCTTCTACAAACAGAAGAGGTCTTTCAAAAGAAGTAACTAGTAAGCTACATTAAAATAAAACTAGGATTCCACACTGAACTGAACAGCAGAAAGCTACACTTCATAACCAAACAATCTCATCCAACAGCTGTCAGCGGTTAGGTTTGGGTAGGTCAGACACTTTAAAAAGTTGAGACAGTTTTCAGTTTAGTATCAACTTTCAACACTGTTCCATGATTAAAAACAAATCATCTAAAACAAAGACTGGTGCAAATCAGACTTCATCAAACCAAGTAAGACAAACCTGCAAAACACAGTTAGGCCCTGGCATAAGTTTGAAAAAATAAAACCAAAACATACACAAAACTCAAACACAGACAATACTAAAAGAAAGAAATACAAACCAAAAACACAAAAAAACCACCAAAACCACAAAACCAAAGACAACCTACCAAAAATAACTGCCAAAAAACAAACAAACCCAAACACCTAAATAAAAAAAAAAAAACACTAAATAAGACACAACTCCACACAACAAAAGTCCCTACTCTAAATTGCTGAGTCTTGTGATCAGCAGTGTCTAGAACTGCCTGCCTATACTTCTGAATCCACAGCTGTACCTCTAAAGGCTAGCCTGCTGTATCAGGACACTAGTTTACTGGAAAAAAGTATAAAGCCCAAAATGTGACAACCCTACCATCATTCATATCTGTGCCTGATACCTTACCATTGCCGTGCAAGTGAAATTACTGGACAACAAGCAGCCAAGCATGTGACGTGGAACAGTGAGGCATCTCCCTGAAAGCTCAAGGTCACACACATTCAGTAGAATAAATACTGCACAAAATGCTTACAGTTTTTCCTGATCCTGTCTGAGCACATGCCATTAAATCCCGTCCTGCCAGTATAATAGGAATGCTGTACTTCTGCACTGGAGTAGGTTTAGAGTATCCAGCTTTAGCGATGTTCACAGTTAAAGTATGACACATATTAGTATCTGCAAAACTCTATAACAGAAAAAATTATTAACAGTTATCACATAATCACAGGAGATGAAAGTTTAAAACCAAAAATGCTTACTGTAGGACACAGACATCCAAATACTAAAGAGTGTTAACTTTAGAGGTAGTCTCACCAGTTATTTAGGTTGCCAAGGCTCCTAAGGGTAAAAGCCGCAAAGGTCTCTAAAATTCAAATTACATTGAAATAACATTCAAATAACATTGTCTGCAGGACAATGAACACTTTGAACCTTTTCAGCTGGTCTTAACAGTTTTAAGAGAAAATTGCTCGGAAGCCATATACCTGGATTCCAGTAAGAAAACTCACATAGCATGCTATGAAAACAGACCTGAAACTCTTTCGTTTCATTTCATGTAGGAGCTACACATGGTCTCTGTGCTAAAACCAGTGAGGGTAGCTAAAACAACATTCCTAGCCAGGACCAAAAGGCAACATAGGTAACAAAAATCTGTTTAACTTCAGTGAGAACACCTCTGTGTCTTCTCTTTCAACACAGGTACTACTAACCCCTCTGCACTTCTCTCCTCATTGTTTTCCCTAAAAAGATTATTTTCTTTTTCAACACTGGCCACCCATTATAGATAAAAAACTAACAATGAACTGCAGCCACAGAGAACAGGGCTAGAAATTAATTTTTAAAAAAAACCCTCCGTCCCAACGACTACTACCCCAACAGGTGTTTATTTCCATTTTTGAAGATCCCCCACTAACTGACTTCAATAAGGCAACTATACCAGCCTGCCCAGAAACTGCTGCCGAAGACCTCTTTCTTTCAATATCTAAAATTGTATTCTTCCACAATTAAATGACTATTCTTTCTATAATATAGAGTCTCTGGACCATTTAAGTAGTTTCTTAATTATTGTCAATTCAATTTTTTATCTTTTAAATGGGGAGCACCTCCTTCCAACATCACATTATCTGCAAGATTCAGTATTTTTTATTAGCATTTTCATTCGTTACAAATATTGAACCCACCACACATCCTTGTCAATCATGCTTCACATAAACTGTGAGAATAACCAGTTCACGAACCATTAATGCTGCTGGAGGGTCTAGTCCTGATACTTCAACGATGTTTTCATCATACTTGTCAAAATTAATTCCTGTCTGATAACGTGCAAAGATGGCTTGTTCATCATCAGGTGGAGGAGGGGGCACATAAGTCACCTTTGGACCTTAAGAACACAACCACTTAAGTTGACAAACAATATAAAGAAAAGTTAAAATAAAACTATTCTAAGTATGGAGCTACAGAAGTTAGGTTCAGTGAGATGTCCTCTGGATTTCCCTCCGTTTTTCAGGAAGGCATAAAATTCCATACCTCCATTCTATCAGAATTTAATGTTATACTACGAGACCTAAAATTTACCTCCATATGAAATCAGACTTGTAAAGCATTCATGTCTCACATTCACTCAAAGGCCCCACTTTCAAGAGGTACTCACAAAAAATAAATTAGGCTCTTCTTTATCATCCAGACAAACACATGCTCTTATAACACAAGGAAGGACATGCTTCCTACATAACAAATTATTCTTTCTGAAAAAGAACTCTCTTTCCACATGAAATTCCATACAGATAGATGCAACTTTTGCATACAAGCACCCAGAACAGTTTTTAACACACTAATACTTTACACTATAGTCATGAAAAAGGAATTACTGTTCGGTGTTAAGGATGCAGTTATTTCCACTAGAAGCACGTTGCATCTATGAAGGCTTCAACTCCTAAAAATCATTATTTGAACTAAAAATCTGAAAAAAATTAGTTGAACCGAGTCCAACAGAGGCAAATCAATTGTTCTTCAGATACTAAGTATCACTTCTGAATACATATACTGGTCATTGGATCACAGAATGGTTTTGAGTTGGAAGTAACCTTCAAGATCATCTATTTCCAATCCCCATGGCACAGGATGGCCATCTTCCACTAGATCACACTGCTCAAAGCCAAAATGAATGTGGCCTTGAACACTTCCAGGGATGAGGTATCTACAAGCTCTCTGGTCAACCTGTTCCACTGCTTCACTGCAACTCACTCTCTGAGTAAAGACCCATTTAGCCATCTTTTCTACGACGAGAATTTTTTTATGAGTATCACACAAAATGTTCTTACATAGAGAATATCAGCGATCCACTGACTATTACACTTGTTTAATCCCACTCCTAATTTGATTTATAGTACTCTAGGTAGGAAAACATATACATACCAGGTACATTAGCATCAGTGGCAAAAGAACACAGCAGGACTATGAGGGAAAAATCCCAAGCATAAAAAAAAAAAACCACAACAAAGTTAAATCAGGAATTAGTGGCCTGTCAGAGCTATAGACCTTACCTGTCAGCACTGAGAGTAAAATATTTCCCCTTAGAGAGGGCAGAAGGGTAAAAGTCTAGATTGACTCTTTCAAAACTTAGCAAGTTCTTTCAGGGTTACTTTCAATTTTGGAGTAAGCACCTCTGCTTCACTGTGAATTAACTGAACCAGCATCAGCCAAAGAAAAAAGATTATGTAATGCAACAGCTTTGAAAATAAGGTAACTAAAATTCAAATTAGATACAAATATGTATTTTGCAGGCATACAACCAAGATACCAAGCATTTGCAGAAGGTTCTTAATAGGGCGAAAAATTAGTGACAGTATTTGCCAGAATTAAGAAGGAACTGCTTTGTCATTGATAACCAATCAGGAAATCCGTAGAGTTCACCCCTCCTACTAAAAAGCCTCACCTGCACCATCTGCAAGTGTTCCTCCTTCTCTAGAACCAGGAGTGCCCAACTGCAGCGTGTTCCTTTGCCCACCTTTAGTACCTGTGAGTAGCAGACACGTAGCAGATACAGGGTATAAAACTAGTTTCATTAGTACATTTTAAGCCAGTACTATCTACTCCAACAAATCTGCAGAACAACAGTCCCAACAACTTTTTCATTAACTCCAACCTATAATGTATTATACTCACTAATATTCGTTTTCTAAAGAGACTATTCATTTTCCAAAAGACAGCTGAAGAACAGAACTAGTAGCAGGAATTCTCAGTTCTCTGTGGTAGTTCTCACGGAACATGCAAATCCAGAAAGATCACCAAACATATGCTACACAAACCACTCAGAATGAAAAAAGCCCAACCATTAAACTTACTCTCACCTTGTCCAAAGCCACCACGAAATCCTTTAAAACCTCTGTTCTGTGTACTAGCACCACCTACAGCATTGCGTTCTTGAAAACCTGCAATAATACAGCATACCACACAATAACTCAAATTTGCCCACTTCTGCATGAGCAGATCAAGTGCCTTTTATCTGGCTGAAGAACAGAACCCATTTCAACAGTTCTCAGGGAACAAGCAAAACCCAAAAGAATGACCAGTGTATGCTACCATCATACAAAACAGTCAATACAGCAAACTTACACTCACCTTGTCCAAATCCTTTAAACCCTCTGTTTTGTGTAATGGCATCTTCTCCATTTTCCTCTTGAAAACCTGCAGTACAGCATAGCACACAATCACTGAAGTTTGCTTAATTTTGAAGTGCAGGTCAAGCCCTTCTATCTGGTAATTATTCTCCTCAGTCCTTATTTTATTCATATAAAAGGTACAATATAACGTAAGTGATTTTCATAAATACATGAAAAAATGAAGAGACACTTTTTTTTGCCAGAAAGCATTCAGCTATTCTACCATACTGTAAAAACAAAGAGCATCATCTAGTATAAGACACCATGAAATTCTCCTAGCACAGCATCTGTGGCTTTCTCTCCACCAATGTCCGGTGTGTATCAGTATGTCAATCAGTTTAGTTTTTCCTCATCAACATATAAAAACTACATCTTAAAGGCTGACGTGCAAATGACAGTATCTTAAGTATCCATAAATACAATGGACCTTAAATATGGCTTGCAAGTTAACTTCAAAATTGCTGCTGAAGAGTCTAGAGCAAAACTGCATGTCATCAGTGCCCTGCATCAAACTGCTGCTGTCTTGCTTAGTCAAACAGGTCTAGTATTCCCCTACCATAATGAGATTCAGCCCAAAAGGTGGGAAAATGGTCTTAATTTTTTTGAAAGAATAAAAAGTGCTGGTTTTGTAAAAAGGCAACTAGTTTTTTAACAGAAAAGAATTGCTATCTGTATTATGGATATGTCCTCAATGAGTATTAGCATGATACCGCTGTAAAAATTACTAAAAATCATTATCTGAATCAAAAAGAGTCATATCAATTGTTATTCAGATATCAAGGAGCACTTCTGAAAATGCACAATAATGGTTTGGGTTGGAAAGGACCTTAAAGGTCACCTAGTTACAACCTCCCTGCAATGGGCAGGGTTGCCACCCACTAGATCAGATTGCTCAAAGTCCCAATCAAGCTAACAATTAGCTACATTGCCACAACTCACTAATGAGGAAACCTGTACAGTTCACCCCCACTACTAAAAAGCCTCACCTGCATCATCCGCTGGAGATACTCTTCCTCTAAAGCTGAGAGCTTTAGACTGAGGCATACCCCTTTGTCCATCCTTAGTATCTGTAACAGACAGCGTAGTGCATATAGGGTATAAAGTTACAAAAATCACAGAATCAACTAGGTTGGAAAAGACCTTTGAGATCATCAAGTTTAATCTATGAGTGAACACAACCTCATCAACTAAACCATGTTACTGAGTGCTGAGTGCCACATCCGGGCTTTTCCTAAAAGCCTCCGGGACAGTAACTCCACTGCCTCCCTAGGCAGCCCATTTCAAAGCTTAATCACCCCTTCTGTGAAGAGCTTCTTCATGATGTCCAGCCTAAACTTCGCCTGGTACACCTTAAGACTATTTCCTCTTCTCTAGTCACCAGTTGCCTGGAAAAGCAGGCTGACCTCCACCTGGCTACAGACTCTTTTCAGGCAGTTTGTGGAGTGTGTTAAGGTCTCCCCTATGCCTCCCTTAATCCAGGCTAAACACCCCCAGCTCCCTACAAGGACTTGTGCTCCAGACCTTTCATCAGCCCTGCTGCCCTTCTTTGGAATTGCTCCAGTATCTCAAGGTTCTTCCTAAACAGAGGAATCCAAAACTGGACACAGCACTCAAGGCCTAACGAGTGCAGAGTATGAGGGGATAATCACTGCCCTGGCCCTGCTGGCCACACTAGTGCTGATCCAGACCAGGATGCCACTAGCCTTCTTGACCACAATGGTTCATGTTCAGCTGGGTGTCAATCAGTAACCTCAGGTCTCTTTCTGCCTGTCTGCTGTCTAGACACTTGGCCTCAGCCTGTAGCACTGCAGGGCATTGTTGTGACCCAAGGGCAAGACCCAGCACTTGTACTTGTTAGACCTCGTATCAATGGATTCAGCACATCGATCCAGCCTATCTGGGTCCCTCTGCAGAGCCTTCCTGCACTCCAGCAGATGAGCACACACATCCAACTTAGTGTCATCTGCAAATTTGCTAATGGCAGATTTAATCCCCTCATCCAGATCATCAGTACAGATACACGACTGGGCCAAACACAAACCCCTGGAGGGCATTAGAAGTGACTGGTCACCAACTGGATGCAGCACCATTCACAACTCTCTAGGCCCTGCTGTCCAGCCAGTTCTTAACCCAGCACGTGGTCTAAGCCATAGGCTGGCAGCTTTTCCAGGAATATGCTATGGGTAAAGGTGTCAAAGGCTTTGCTAAAGCCCACATAGATGACATCTACAGCATTCTCCTCATCCACCAGGTGGGTCATTTGGTCATAAAAGATCACACTGAAGAAGATTACAGGCGGGACATGCCCCTCCAAAATGCTGGCTAGGTCTGACCCCTTGGTCATACTGTATGCACCATGTGATCACACTTAAGATGATCTGTTCCATTATCTTGCTGGGCACTCAGATGCAACAAGAAGTCCATACACTCCAAGAACCTCCTAAACGGCGTCTTCTCCACTGTGCTGAGCTCCCAGCAGATTATTTGGTAGGTTAAAGTTTCCTACATGAACAAGGGCTGGTGATCTTGAAACATCCTCCAGCTGCTTACGGAATAATTCATCCATCTCTTCAACATGGTTAGGTGGTAAGACACTCACCATGATGTCAGCTTTGTTGGCCCTTTGCTGATCTTTGCCCATAGGCACTCAACCTAATCATCATTAATCCTAAATTCTATAGAGTTGAGAGCCCCTCTAATGTACTAAGTGACCCCTCCATCTTTTCTCCCTTGCCTGACCCTTCTGAAGAGTAAGCAGACATCCATTGCACCACTCCAGTCATGCGAATCATCCTACCACATTTCCATGACAGCTACTACATCATCATTTCCCTTCCATACAAGGCTTCAAGCTCCTCTTACCCATGCTGCATGCATTTGTGCACATGTACTTCAGCTGAGCTGCTTTCACCACTGACTCTGACTTATCACCTTAGCATCCTCTCTGGAAAGCCTGGTTTCATACCCTTCCCCCTTCAAACCTACTTTTAAAGCCCTCTCAATCAGCGCTGTCAACTCTGGCCTAGAATCCTTGTTAGACAGAATCCACCTGACTCAAACAGGCCTGCTGCTGTGAAAACTACCCCATGATCAGAAAAATCAAAATTCACTGATAGCACCAGCCCTTAAGCCAGTTTTTCATAATACGGGTTCTCCTGTTCATTATTCATCTCTGCTACTGATGGAACTTAGCAGAACACCACCTGCACTCCTGTCCCATGAACCAACAGACCCAGAGCCTTAAAGTCCTTTTGAATTGTGCTGGTACCCTTCTTGTAAATCTCATCACTGAAAACCTGGAAAACCAGCAGTGGGTAATAATCAGAGGGCTGAATTGGCTCAGGGAGTACCTGGGCCCCAGGGAGGCAGCAGACTTCCCTGTTGAGCACAACAATACAAGGTCCTCAATTCCCCATAGAAGGGGGTAATCTGTGACAATCAACTTTCAACTCTTAACACCTGAGGCTGTGATCCATCTGACAGAGTAAGCACAACTGGAACACCATCCAGACGAATTTTTTTCTTTCATATAATTAGCCTGACCCTCTGAATCCAGAGTCTTGTATCTATTTCTGTAAGGGCACCTGGGAAGGCAATGGGGGTTGGAAGTGAATTTTTTTACCTCCCCAATAAGGGACCTCTTCCCATTCCCCCCATCTGCTAGGTCTCCTCCTTCTACCTGAAGGGTCAATTTCTCTTCTGCTTTCTGTAATACTCCTTAGCCTTTCCATCTCTTCTTTAAGCTCTGCCCCCAGACAGAGAAAAATCACTCACCTGCTTACACCATAGGCACGTTTTTTTTGCACCATCCTCTGGTACTAACACTAGGTTCAGACACCCTCTGCAGCCAGTAGCCTGGACACCTGTTTTCCTCTTGGGGGAGTTGTCTGGGTTAGCAAATGCTTGCTGCCAGCAGCAGCAATGGCTTAGGGGGACGATTAAAAAAACCAAAAAACAATAAAAAAAAAACAACAGCAAAAATACCACACCAACCTACCACACAACCCACTTCCAGGAGGATGGCAGTGCCCTACCTTGGTGAACTGCCACATAAACTGATTCGCCACAGCTCCCGTTGTGCTACACCCTCCCCGCTCTGCCACGCCCATTTCCCCACTCCTGTTACTTGCTATGCCACACCCCGGTTTGCCCACTCCTGGTCACTAGCGCTCCTACAGCGTTTTAAATCGCAGCCAAATGGCCCAAAAACTGCCCCTTGCTCACCTGAATGGCTGTCATGGAGGGGGAGCTGCTTGATCAGCTCTTCTAAATCACATGCACATTAGTATCATGAAATACTACAACTAAAGCCAGCTATTTACTCCAATGTATCTGCAGTACAATCCCAACAACTTCTTCATTAATTCCAACCTATAATACTATTATGCTCAGTAATACTTGTTTTTAAAAGAGAACAATTATTTTCCACAACACAGCTGAAGAACAGAACTAGTAGCAGAAGTTCTCAGGGAACATGCAAATCCAGAAAGATCACCAAACACATGCTGTACCCATACAAACCACTCAGAGTGAAAAAAAGCCCAAACCATCAAACTTACTCTCACCTTGTCCAAAGCCACCACGAAATCCTTTAAAACCTCTCTTTTGCGTACTAGCACCATCAACAGTGTTTCGTTCTTGAAAACCTGTAATAATACAACATACCACACAATAACTCAAATTTGCCCACTTCTGCATGAGCAGATCAAGTGCCTTTTATCTGGCTGAAGAACAGAAGCCATTTCACTGCTTTCACCCTTCTACTGGTAGTTCTCACGGAACAAGCAAATCCAGAAAGATCACCAAACATGCTATACAAACCACTCAGAATGAAAAAAAAACCAACCATTAAACTTACTCTCACCTTGTCCAAAGCCACCACGAAATCCTTTAAAACCTCTGTTCTGTGTACTAGCACCACCTGCAGCATTGCGTT